CGACGAGGTCGGTCGACAACACAATTTTCGAGGCCAGTGAATTTCGAAAAACAATTTTCGCGCGTTGAATTATTTTAATTATTTTTAAGTGACGGCAATATTTCAGTAATTATTGCTGCAATTATTCAGGATTATTACGAAAGAAAGAGAGGAGAGAGAGAGAGAGAGAGAGAGAGAGAGAAACAGAGAAAAATAGAAATAATATTTATTAAATGTCGTAATAATAAAATACACACACACACACACACAAGTATAAATAATAAAGTACGAATGTGCAGCTGCGTTAATTTAAAAATTTCATAAATATGCCGGTATGCTTTTGATTATTGTGCGAATTCCATATTAAGCATCACTTTTGTAATTATTGGCATAATATTTGCCGCGTATACGCACATTTTTGGAAAGTCATCGATGCAAATATCAAAATTACAATCGCAATATAAATTAATGCGTTAGTGCGGTGTTATCGCAACGATATTAATCGCAATACGAATTTAAAATCCGGCCTCGTAATCTCTGTTATTCTTTTTCTTCAACCATTTCGCAGAATCGATCGAATGAAAAAGAATGAAGATTCTGAAATAACAGTTTTGACGAATAAAGTAGACGTACATTATCTACAATTTTTCCTATTGTTACGGACAATTTAGTTTTAACGTTACAAAGTATCCTATAAAAAAAAATGTGTTTCTTCCAACAATCGCTTTCACAACAAAACAAAACTATCTTCTCTGATTATTTCGAAATTATCTCAAACGAGAAGATCCGTCGATATATCTACTTATCTAATTTTTTTGTAAATCAACGACTTATTAGTTACGACAAAAGTATATATCGAACTTCACCATTTCGGAGTTTGCGCTCTTTGCATACGCAAAAAGTCGCTTTGTTCGTGTAACGTTGTTCGGTCGCCTGGTTTCGCACAAAAGTCCGCGAAAACGCATTCAGGCGTATCGAGATGAAAGGGTTATCTTGGGGTCGTGCTCGGGAGATGGGGTCCATCGAAGTCAAAAGGTTGCGGTGTCCGAACACAATGCCGGAGAAGCGGCGCGGCGCTATCGATAGCGCTGTTAGGTTTTGCATTTGTCGTTATCGTCGACGCGCGCTCGAAAAGAGCCACATGACAGAAACGACCGGGAAGCGCGACCACGTGCTCGTTAGCTCGACGCGCATGTTGAACTTCAATTAGGACGGCGGAGTTTCTCGTTGGACATCGATGCGAGCAAACTTATGGAAACTCCGTTGTTACGTGTGACTTGCCTAACATGTACGGTTATCAGAGAAAGAGAGAGAGAGAGAGAGAGAGAGAGGGGAGTAGAAAGAGAACAGGATACTATCATAAATAATTATACATGTTTAATTACAAGCATTAATGTATTTCCGCAAAGTTAACTTTAACCCACTTGTGCGAAATTCCTGTAGAGACCAAAAGCGCTTCTCTGCATTTTCACATGACCGATGAAGCAAGTATTTAGCGCGAAAATTCACGAAAGTGTGTACTTATGTGCGTGCACCATGACGTATGTCTGATGGTAACGGAGATATGTGTGTGTAACTGTAACTGCACGCGACCGATAATTGTATATCGCGCAACACGACTGTTCAGCCACTCGGCGAAATTTAATTTCGAATAATAATAATCCTGCAACCGCCGCGCACACACACGTGACGGAAAAGTGTGAGAGAATTATATATTACCGATATTATATTATATCGCCGAAATTTCATTCCAGTAATAATACTGCGGTTGCCAATGGAAAAGTGAGAATGTTACTGATATCGTATTGCCGGATGGAATTTAATTTTGGCAGCAAATTCTCGCGATCACCGGGCCCGGGATTTGTACAACTGTGGATATATTAAAATGTTGACAACGAGAGAAAAGAATTCGAATTTGAATCTGTCGGAATTTGTTACATATAATATATTTTATTTAAAAAAATCACAAAAAGCGGATATCACTCTTGTAATTATTTAATTTCATATAATTTTGTTTTTCTAATATTCTCATAGAGGAACCGATCGATATCTTGTCACACACACACACACACACGCACGCTCGCACGCACGCATGCACGCACACACGAGAGTGAGAGAATCGACAGATATTTCAATCACGCTCGCTTTCACGCGTCGCCGAGCAGCTCGAATACACACACGAAATTGATGAAAATGCGCGACATAAAACGCGTATTGCGATTACAACGTCGGTCGTCGGTTCTTCCGAGCGCGTTGTAAATATGCGTGATACCGGTAATTATTTCGTTCTATCGCGGCGGGACGTTTTTGCCCCTTCATCTGCCGGAAATCCGCGCAGTTAGCGCAGACAATAAAAGCAGTTGGTTTGAGCACCGCAATAATATCGGTCTCGAAAACGTGTCGACCGAAACTCAATTTGCCGGCAATTCGTCGATCAGCGCGCGCCGACGCCGACGTTCGCGATAAACCCACACACACACTCTATGTGGACATCCATAATTTTTGCGAATTTCAGACTTTGTAAATGCGCGCGATTGTGTGAAATAATAAATTTTTGCGCGGAATATTTCAAAATATCAATACCGCGCTAAATTACAGAGGAAAGTGGGTTTGAAATACGCAAAAATGCGCAAAAACAAACTTTACAGGGAATATTAATATGCAAACGTTTCACATACTTTGCGTTAAAATAAAATAAAAAATATAAAAAATAAAAAATAAAAAAAAATAAAACACGTGTTTCCTTTTCAATCTCTCAGATTTTCTCTTTGTATCTAACAAAACGCAATTTCAACTACGTGCCACGTAACTATTTTTAAAGAATCCTTGCGGATTAAATAGCCTTCCCGAGGCACTTCCCGCACATCGATAAAAATTGACAAATCAGATTTTCCACGGACGACGGAGAGATCGAAGAGTGCGGATTCGCTGAATCGAAAGCCACTAAAATTTCTATTTAACCGGCGTATATCTATCTTGTCAGTATTATTGAACTCTCGAGCTCTTTTTTTCTCTCTCTTTCTTTCTCTCTCTCTCTCTCTCTCTCTCTCTTTATCCGAGTACTAGAGAGAAATTTCATTCGACCGAGCCATTAATTTTACGCATATTAAATATGTGCGGCGTACTTCAGTCTTCACATTATCCACTCAATTATAACCGAATTGGTGCGTCCGACTAATTTATTTAACTCTTGGCTGCAAACGCGCGCTCACGTGTGAGAATCATAAAATATCTTCGCATATTCACAAATACGTGGAAAAAAAAAAAAGAAAAAAAACAAAACAAACCGATTCGCGCGAATTTCAGAAAAAATATAGCGGCGATATATATACGTATATATATATATATATTTCAAATAACATTTTTATTTTTTATACGCGCGAGACAATCATTTCACAAGCCGTCATTTATGCGCGCGCAAAACAAAAACCCGCGTCCTACATTTCTATTATAATTGAAAAACTAAATTTCGTATCTATATACCGTATCAAATATTCATGTTACGTTTATCCCTTCGAATTCGGACGTGCTCTTCAACCATCCTCTTATTAAGGGCCCTCGTCCCGCGGCCATCGCAACAGATAACACGTGAACTCGTTCGAGGTCCGAACTTTCCGCGCGAATATCGAAGATATTCACCATTCAGACCCCACTCGAACGGTCAAGTAGTATACCACTCGGATTCGCGCAGCAAAGTGGTGCAGGGAGGAGGGGGAAGGACGGATTTCCGAGCCCCGGCGTGGGGTTTAAACTGTCTGCGAAGTTGGTCCCCCCCGTTCCCCTTTACCAAACCCCACGGTCGCGCTCTTTATCGCCGACTTCGTGATCGCATCGCTTTCATCGCTTCCACACATGACGAACGGGATGTGCCTGTATGATGTAATGTGTGTGTGTGTGTGTGTGTGTGTGTGTGCGTGTGCGCGCGTGATTCAATCCAAATGTGTACACGCGAGCACCACCAGGGAAAACTCAGCCTCGACGTGTGTGCCGAATTGCGGCTAGACGCTTGTACAACGTTTACGTATATACACGCGCATGCATGCGCGTCGTTAAAACCGGATGGCCCGAACGAAATATTGGGGGGACGACCGGAGAGCAAATGCGCGCGATTGCTCTCCGGTAGTCGATATCCCTTCCCCGGAAACTCCGCTCGCGCAATTATGTTAATGCAATAAAGCACTTGTTATCTCCCTAATCGCGCGCGCGCGCGCACGAGACGTTTCGTTTCGCGATAGACAATATTGTCTATTGTTATATTGGGTACCGGAGTAAATGCCGAGAAAATTCCTCATTTTACGTTGTTTTATTCGCTCGCCTTGCGCCAATGCATCTCAATTTGGAATAGATAGATATTATGATATCGATGTTTCGAACTATATCGGAGTGGCGCGCGGCATGAATGTGCCATTAATACGCCTGCAACGAGCGGGAGCGTGCTTCGCGATAACGCACACTACGATCCCGCGATGCCAGAGAGATCCCTTTCCCTCCTCCGATATGACCAGCGGCGATACATCGATTATGCGAACTTTCTCTCTCTCTCTCTCTCCCACTATCGTAAATTGCGACTGTGTGCGTGTGTATGTGTGTGTGTGTGTGTGTGTGTGTGTGTGTGTCTCGAATGCGCGCTCTCTGCTGCTTTATTAAACTCTTGAAATTACATTCCGTGGCGCAGTGCGAGCGTGATAACGATGTCTCGTTTTACGAGGCCGGCGGAGGCCAAACCCCCTCATTGACGAAGCGACGACGATTTTACCGGTCGATAACTAATTAGCCGAGCGAGAAACGATTTTCAAGATTTTTTAACCCGTCACAACTGGCGCGGAAGGTTTCTCATTAGCAGACGATGATTATGCGCTCCAAATGATATTTAAATCCTCGCCGGCGCGCAAGCTTGCTTGCTTGCTTGCTTGCTTGCTCGCCCGCCTGCCTGCCGTCTGCTCGCTCGCTCGCTCGCCCGCCCGCCTCTGCACTGCAGATACTCAAACGCGCTTATATACGCGCGTTTTGAACTTACTTACCTATTATCCCCTAGAAGTGACCCGTTAGCCGCTTATCAGCGAGTTATCCCGGGCTGATTTAGGCATGCGTTCTTAAATTCCCGTATCCCGCGCTCGTCGCTACGATTCCTTGGTGCTCATGCTGACCTGTAAGAACAAGAATAAAACTACCATTGAGCGCGTCTGAGAAGATATTGGTTCGTTCGCTCGTTGATTAGCGCGAGAGTTCGAGTTTAGCGCGCGTTCGCGCGATACGTTGCGTATCGATAATAATTTAAACGACGCGGTTCGAAACGTAATTTCTTTTTATCGTTACGCGCGGTGCTTTATGTGAAAAAGAAAAAAATTGTCACGGCTCTTTAATCTTCCGATATCGTCGTCTACATTATGCAAACTATCGGCCTATACCGTGTGCAAAAAAAAAAAAAGCACGTTCCTTTAAAGCCGTTAAAGGTCGGACCATTCTTCGCGCAAATAATGGGGGAGCGTTTCGATTTGCGTTATTATGAAGTTGTATCCTTGAGGATACGAGTTATATCGGCGGGAGTACCTTTATTGCGATTGCAGCCGGGTTCCGCCGCGCGCCGCGGGGGAATCAATAACAGGATACAATGAGAGTCCTGAGAAATAATAAAAACGCATTCTATATGTGTGTGTGTGTGTGCGTGTGTGTTCTATATGTGTGTAACGGATACTCGAGGCGGCGGCTGCGCGCTCACGGCCATTGCAGAATTAATTCTCATGCACCCCGCGTTTTCCGCTATTGCACTCACACAACAACGCGCACGCACGAGATAAGTCGTTCGCGCTCGTCCGCATTCTCGGAACGTAAGAAACAATTTTGCGGATGTAACCGTCAAAAGATATATACCCTTTCTTTCACAATTTATATGTTAATTAACGCTAGTGATTTTTTTTTTTTTATAAAAGTTGTCGGTCCACTTTGAAAACTTCTGGCTTCGCAGCGGCAATCAAAAATAGCGTATTTCGCAAATGTACCGCGCGCGATTCTCGCAAGTGGAGGAGAAACATTAATTGTTTGCATTTTACATGCAAACAAATATATTTCTTAATTAATTAAAAAATCTTTAAGGCTCCGAAGTTTCCAAACTAATAAATATATATTCGGTCATGAGAGCCGTTCGCTAGGTGTTGTGCAGAAATTATACGTGTATATATATACGTGTTCACGTGTAAATTTTTACACGTGAAATTCGAATTGTAATAACAATTCTAAGATTCATATAGGATGCTATACTTGCATCTCGTATATGAGAGATCCCAAATACCCCCCTAATTGAAATTAAATTTATATTGCGAAAAAAACTCCTCGGCCAGGAGTCGAACCTGGAATCTCCGGCTTTCCGTGCCGTCCAGGTTCGACTCCTGGCCGAGGAGTTTTTTTCGCAATATAAATTTAATTTCAATTAGGGGGGTATTTGGGATCTCTCATATACGAGATGCAAGTATAGCATCCTATATGAATCTTAGAATTGTTATTACAATTCGAATTTCACGTGTAAAAATTTACACGTGAACACGTATATATATACACGTATAATTTCTGCACAACACCTAGCGAACGGCTCTCATGACCGAATATATATTTATTAGTTTGGAAATATATTTCTTGAATATATAAAAAATATATATTATATATATAAAAAAAAAAATATATATATATATAAATATATATATGAAAAAAATATATATATAAAATTTTGAAAAAATTGCAGCGTATAAATTACGTGCAAATCAAATTTCGAGTGATCAAAATTCTTTTTAAAAAAAAATGCTCCGCTCGATAGAGTATGAACATTTTCGAGACGCGCATTGTTCCGTAAAATTAATGCCAGCCTCTCCCGAGTAATACGACGAACGCGCACACGCACGAGAGTAATAGCTCTGAAGAGGCTCCTCTCACACGGGGGAGCCTTTCTGTCTCCGGGCCGGCGGGGTAGAGTTTTCTGTGCCGTTCTTTCTCCCCTGAAACACCACACACCGCTCTTTATCGCGGTGATCTAAAATTACCGGAAATTATGCAGAGTACGAGCCATCTGTACAATGGCGCGCCGCATTGTTTGCGCGCGCGAGAAAAAAACCTATGTGAGTGGAAATATTATTTTTAATCGCCCATTATGCATGGCGCACGCGCCCGCCCGCGCAATATATATATATACATACGCGCATACGCGGCGCCTGCTCGAGAGGAAAATGCGCGCGCGTTCCCGCAAACGAGAGAAGCAACGTAGAGATGGATTTTACTCGCAACGATATGTTTCGTTCAAATAAAACGTAATACGAATTACGAATGCGACTGATTGATTTAACGGCGCTCTTTAATAGTAATTAATCCGTAATTTATCGCTTTTCCTGTGCTTTCCAGTCGATTTGCCTAAATTATTCCGCGCGATCGTATATTGTAAATACTACACACAGCGCGCACAACACGCGGGCTGAAAATAAAAGAAATATTTATTTAATGTCACTCGACGTTCGCGGTTTATGCAATCAGCAGTGATCGATATATATATATATATTTATATATTTGCGTAAAACAAAGTTGTTTACATACGGCACTATTTTTGACTCTTCCTCTCTCTCAAACGGGATCACAATGTTTGTCAAGCAAAATATTTACTTCCGCGTATATTGATTCTTGTACATCAAAATTCTTTTTTTTTTTTTTTTTTAACGATTTGCAATTCGTTTGAACGCAATTTGTCTCTTGAACACACTCTTGTATTCTTGGATTTACAATTGTCACTCTCTCAAAGAGTGCGCGTATATCCTATATCAGAAAAGTGCCTCGCAACAAAGTCGCGCTCAAACGTGTCTTTAAAAAAAAACGCGACAGAGAGGAGAGAAAAAAACATCACGTGAGACTACAGTCATGTGTCTTTAAAAACGTGATTAAAGTAAAAGTCACGTGACGGAAAGAAGTGAAAAAACAACACGTGACTAAAGTCACGTGATAAATAGAGATTACTCTCGGGCTCTACAAGTCTTTTAAACTAATAATATGTGAATATATAAGGACATGAAGAGCCGTTTGCAGGATGTTGTGCGTAAGGCCCGGAAAGCCGGAGATTCCAGGTTTGACTCCTGGCTGAGGAGTTTTTTTCGCAATATTTTAAAATTAGTTAACGGGGTATTGGGGACCCTACATATATAAGATGCAATATTAGCATCATATTTGATTTAAAGAATTGTTATTTCAATTCCAAAAAAACTCACGTGAAAAATATTACACGTGAATACATATATATATATATGTATATATATATATTAGGTCTACCGGAAAGTTCTGTCCGTTTTTGGAATAAAACAAAATACAAATTTTTCTTACCGTCAATAAACTTGATTAAATAATAGAATTGCCATTATTATTAATGATTTCTTGCTAGCGTGAGGGCAATTTGTATATCCCATTTTTGAAAAATTAAGAAAAATTTGTATTTTGTTTTATTCCAAAAACGGACAGAACTTTCCGGTAGACCTAATATATATTCTCACATTTACGCACAACATCCTGCGAACGGCTCTTCATGTCCTTATATTCACATATTATTAGTTTTAAAGTCACGTGACTTTAATCACATTTTCAAAGACACGTGACTAAAGTAAAGTCACGTGTTGTTTTTCCACTCCTCCCTCTCACTAATCTACGAGTGTAATTTTCATGTAATTTTCATGTTACTTCTAACATCTCTCGTATGTGTATTATATGGATTATAAGACGTACTATACTAGCTGTCATCGCGACGACAGGTTGTGTTCACTGACATAACAGGTTAAAATAAAAGTAATATAAATGGCGTGCGCGTAGCGCGCGTCTGTGTTGTGCTGATACTCAGAAAAAAATGACTTTTTGCGCTACTATATGTCAACAATTTGATGGAAAATGCATTATTGTTTCAACGAGAGAGTGAGTAAAGGACCGAGGCGGCGCGGCTAACGGCAACAAGCTTGATATCATTTTATATCGCATAATCGCGCGGGCACACGGCGCACGAATACCGTATCATCGGTATTCGGCCTGGACACGTGAATACGCGCTTGATTACCCATTTGCATTTTTGATTGTGTGACTATAAATCAATTTAAAGCGTGGCCGCACACCTCGCGCGCGTTCGCGCACCAACGGGGAGCCGTCGTCCTCCTCGTAATTTAGCTTTACGCGTTTCTATCGCGTACATTTCGCCGCGATTGTCGGGGGACGTTAAATATCAATATTTAAGGCGAACGACCCGTCGGCGTACGTTAGTCGGACGGCATATTAATGAGAACAAATCCTGAATAGGTTAATTACGTTATTTATATTAATCATATGAGATTGAATAGAAATTGCATTAAAAGCGACACATCGTGAGAATGTGAATAAAACGCTTCAAGAAGCGAAAAGAGACAGTCCATTATAAAATTACGCGTGCGCACCTATTTGCTTTTAACGAGAACGCAAATGATATAAATAAGTTTAATAGCGATATTATTTTATGTGAAGCTTGTTTTTATTTTCTTTTTTTTCTCACTGCGCACAAGATGCAGTTCAATCTTTTGATTGCGGTACCTAAACTACAAGTTGTCCGGGTGAGTAGCATAATAACATCGTGGAAAGAGAAGCAATCTCGTTGGCAGTATCAACTGCTTTTATTTGAAGCGCTTGAATGCACTTTCGCGTATATGTATATCGTAAAATGTATCTTGAACGTGCGCGTTTGGTCTTTTCCGAGACATTTTAGAATATTACACCGAGCCGCAGCGGTTAGCAAAGAGAAGTCTCGAAATGAAACGACAAGCGTGTAAACGCCACATATTTAAGAGACGTAACTTAATTTCTCGTGTGTGTGTGTGTGTGTGTGTGTGTGTGTATGTGTTATGAAATATATATACAATAAAAATTTATTTCAAATTATATTCAAATTTTATTCAAAATTTATTCAAATAAAATTTTATTCAAATTATTTATTTCAAATTATTTAAACATTACATTTGTGTGTGTGTCTCAACTAAATATCTACAAACGCGCGAAGTAAAAACTTAAGAGTATTACGAGAAGTACAAAACTTACTACGTAAGTAGATGGCGAAAGCAGGACGAAGAAAAACTGCGCCTTTGTGTGTGTGTGTGTGTGGACTATTGGACTG